TGATGGTGATGTCAAAACCGACATTTCACCTTTTCCCATCATTGGTAGATTTGATTCTATACAAAGGACGTCTTTAAACTTTTATTTTCATTTTGAACATATTTGGGATCACGAATGTATGCAGCAAGTGAAACTATAAATAAAAAATATATAAACTCTACCATACAGGCACCTTCCTTCCTCACTGCATACATAACACAATAGATACACACTAAGAATCCCAGAATGGTTCAAGATGAAGTACACCAATGGTGTTTCAGAAGTCATAGACTGTATAATATCGTAGAAATCCAATAAGGTTTTCGACTTACCTACAGTAAGCCTCCAATTGATCGATGACAGTAAAATTATTGAAGTATTGATTACGGTGGAGCCATACGTGAAATTGACGATTGGTGAGTTGTGCGGTAGGAAACAACCACATTAATGTAATTCCTATGGAACAAAGTGCAACAACCATGCAGACCTGAAAACATTTGGACTGCGATCAATACTAATCGATGGGGCTAGGGGTTCTTCAAAGGATATTTGGCCGTTGAAATGCTAAAGCTCAGCTAGGATGCAGGGTTGCTCGGTCTTTCACCCCACCCGTATGATTCCCACCGCCTTCAGAAGTTTTCGCTCCCAACTACCGTATCGAAAGGAGTGTTGAAGCTGGAGTCTACTTAGACTTCCATGAAAAGTAGTATTAGGTTATGAGACTATGGACGATTTGAGTGTATAAATAAATAAATAAATAAATAAATAAATAAATAAATAAAGCTGAAATCAATGGGATCGATAAGCGACTGATCACCTTGGATGACGACAGCAAAGCCAAATAGACACAAGAGGACAGTAACAGCAGCAGACTTGTTTCGAATATGAGCTGAAAAGTTTTTCAGTCAAAATCATACAAGACCATGTCCATTCGGCGGAATTTTCCTCTGCCAACACATCTTCCAATCATTCCAGCATTCAAATGTATTTCAGCGAGATCCCTGAGACTTTCGAGCATCCCTTGTGATGGATTCCGACTTTTAACGAACCAGGCCCAACCAGAAATTCCGAGCGAAATAC